GAATTTTCAATAACAAAAAAAAAATAAAAATAAAAAGGTTGTTTCCTTTAGAATGTAGTGATTACAAAATAAAGTAGTACATTATTACTTTCGATTTCTACTAATACCATCCATTATGGTTTTATCCACATGAAGATGAAAGAAACGACTTTCTAAACATAAAATCCTCTCTAATTCTATCATTTTGATATAAAGAAATACTAGTTGCTCCCCCCAAAACAAACAATTGTTATCTTTACTAGAAATTACATTGCTGAGTGTTTCCTGTGTTCTTGGATGCCAGTGCTGTTATTTGAAAGATTATATAAGGTAGTTTGGCTGACACTAAAGAGTTATTACTTCAGCTTCAAAACCAAGTAGAAAATATGTTACAAACATAGATACTACCCTAAAATGTACCTCTTCCCTATAATTTACATAGTAAACTGATTTGAGTTTTATTTCTGATAAGATGCTGAATGCAATAAACTCACACATTTAAAAGGTACTTGCCATTTTCTTGGCAAATGTGAAAGCACTTGGAGAAATCGAAAACTTTTCAGAAGCTACCACAGCAGTGGTATAGTGACTCCTATACCCACCTGAGCTATTAAGATTTCTTTCTATTGAGTCATCATCCATTATTATCTGCCACCTCTTTTTTGGCATTCTAATATACCCTTCTCAAGTCATATTAAAGAAATTAGAAAATACAGCCCCATCAAGGAACTGTTTCCATATGTAACATCTAGCCAATGAAATCACATTTTGGCCAGGTCTCCATGAGTCCAAAAAACAGATATGGAAGGAAGAGTTTGTGACTGAGTTCAGACTATGTGCTATTGAGACAATTCTCTTTCCACAGAAAGTACTTTGTGGATGTTGTTGAGCTGGGCATTATACGGTCAAGAAAGCATAGCCCTTCCTGCTCCACCCTGGGTGCTAAATAAAGAATGGTTGAATTCAAAGCACAGACGTCTCAACCTGCTGGACACATTATATAAAGGATTAAAAACACTTTGAAAAGTGTCTGTGGCCCTGCAAATCCCTCCCAAGCATCAGAAAGTTCACTTTTAAGATCCAAACTATCATCAGAGCTTTCCCGATCCTTGTTGTGAAGGACATTATTCAGACCTAGAAGATTAGACTGTTGAAAGAATTTGATGCATATTCTTGTGGGCAGATACACTGAGAACAATTTTAAAGGCCATAATCTCTCTTTCTGAGTAATTATCTTTGAAAGAGTTAAGTCATGTTACTTGGAGAGATCATGTAACCATTAATCATTCACTTATTTTATACAATTTTTTGTAACTGATCAAAAACACTGATTTCATTGCTTTCCTTAAGTCTTTGTCTCAAATATGCTAAGAAAATAGACTTAAGGTACTAAATTTGACTGGGCCCGTATTTTTAAAAATCGGTTTAATGCTTTTCACTTAGTGAAAGGAAAATAAATCTCAGTAAGCGCTTTAAAAAATTCACAGTTAAAACTGAAACAAGCCTAAGAAGTGATTATATTTGCATAACTTGATCTGTATTTGGAAGAAAATTCCACTGAAGACAATAATGGAAGCTTATCAAATCAGAATTTCACATAGATTTTCCATAGCCCTACTAATGAATACTGACTCATTGGTCAGCTATGGTAGAAATTTAACGGAGCTCTAGGATAGGAAATGTACACACTGGAGTGTGTTCAGTGCTTCCATGACATCACTAGGAAAACTGCATTAGGCATCCGATTCTTTGGCCACTTTCTGAGACCAATGCTAGAACACAGTAGTTGTCAATTCTTTAGCATTTTGATTGGGGCCAGACCGTGCCACTGAATTGAAACCCTTTTCGTTTTGCCACGGTTAGGAAAATTTGGACTTTATGTCCAAACTGGGATTGTTTGGACTACTGATTTAGTTTTCTATTTTCTTCAGAATGGTAGGTAATCTCCAACCAAATCCTCTCAAGGAAAATTATAATCTATGGGGTGCATTCTAAGATAGGAGTGAAGGTACTGGTATATTATTATATGAAATTGAATCTGTAGAGGACCCAATACTGTAAGTGACCCTGAAAAGTGTAAGTCTGAGGTAAGCCTTATTTAAAGCAGGTGCCAGTTCAACCCCTCAATGTGTACATTCTAAGAATTGCCCACTCTTGCTTCATAAAATTTCACCTTCGGGGAGTCTGGATGGCTCAGTCAGTTAAGCGTCCGACTTCGGCTCAGGTCACCATCTTGCAGTTCTGGGTTCAAGCTCCGCGTCGGGCTCTGTGCTGACAGCCAGCTCAGAGCCTGGATTCTGTATCTCCCTCTCTATCTGACCCTCCCCTGCTCATGCTGTCTCTCTGTCTCTCTCTCTCTCAGAAATAAATTTAAAAAAAATTTCACCTTCTACGATTGGATCAAAATGCCAGATGACTGTTGTGATAAGTTCCCCTGTTTAAGAATGGATTGAAATTCATAGGACAGACAGGTATATAACCTAGTTAAGTAATTCTCATGTTAACTATTGCTGAGAATATTAAGATCTGTTTTGCCCTGTTCCTGGGAAATGACTGTGTAACTAAATCACCTTTCGGCTCCCATAAGGATCAACATTTTAAGTTTGTTCTCAGAGTTTGTTTTAGTCCATTTTCAAATTTCTTCTTACAGTCAGTTTTAAAAATATACCCATCAGGTAGAAAATTACAAAAGCAGGGTAAATAATGGACTTGATGTGTATGTTGTCTTGCTAAGAAAATAATACATTTTACCTGTGTAATTTGTAAGTGATGTCCAGTTATAGGACTCTAGGTATGCACCTGTGTTGTCTAGGCACCTGGTGACATAGATTTGTTCTGGTGGGCCCCTAGGATACTCTGTCTACTACATCACTGGTTCTAGGTATCCATTCATCCTTACTCATCTCTCTTGACACCATAACAGTAATAACAACAGGAGGGACTACTCAGAGCATTAATAGCAGAGAACATTTATGAATACTTAATTCCAGAAACTATATTAAATGCTTTACATGAATTATCTCATTTATTTCTCTCAATGGCCTTCTCAGTGGTGGGTATAAGTATCCCCATTTAACAGATGAGATATCTGATAATCAGAGAGGTCATGACTTGTTCAACGTCAATATGAGTGAGTGGTAGATCCCAGGTCTGATTTCCAATTAGTCCAGAGCCAGACTCTACATTTTTCTACTGTGGTGAATAAGATGGTCTAGAATATTTTGTTCTTTACCTTAGATATATTTGCGAAAGTCCCTACTTATTTCAGTGTAGACTGAGCTTTTAGTTCTCCAGCTTCCAAATTCGTAAATTTTCATGACATTGGTTTGTCTTGGACTTTCTTCCTAGCATTCACTTCAGACTATGACTAAGATGATCAGGTAACTTATGATCCAAATCAGGACACATCTAAGGGTGAAAAGAGCTGCTGGTGTTAAGCATGCTGGGACTGTAGATGTGCACCTGGATTGCCCAGGCACGCGGTGACAGGGGTTCATTCTGATGAGCCTCTAGGATACCTTTTTCTGCCCCCTAGTGCAGAGCCCAGCTCTGCTGAGGGTAAAACTAAGTATTGTTTTCAATGATTCTGTGCTGCAACCTTTATTTTCTCAGGATTAGTTTTCTGGACAACTGTTGTTTTTTTTTTTTTTTCTTTCCTCTGTTAGAGCAGGACATTCAATAAACAACCTAAAAAGAATAAAATGTCCTAATATTTCTTTAGCACTGAATAACTATGGACACAGAGGCATATTCATTTATCACTGTTACAGTAAAATTATAAAAAGTCTTATACCTTTAATAAGTCCCTTTTCTTGCAGAGTTTTCAGGGAAGGTCTTCGGGTGATAAACTTCTTTAATCTGCTTTTAACTCGGTTTTTGTCGCTTGTATCGGAAGCACTATGATGCAGTCTGAACACTAAAGATTAAAAAAAAAAGCTTTCAGTAAATTTCTCCTTTGTGATTATTACTTTATTCAAATATGAATAGAAAGCAGTAGCTATGGAACTACTGGAATTAATAGCTCAAGCTCTTCTGTTTAGACACAGCATAGGAGTAAAAATTTGGCCGAATGAATATATTAGCTCTGTTGCCACCTGAATTTACAATGAGAATGTGGTTAGTTCTATACATTCACAGTTTATTTTCACTTGCATCTCCTCAGATTCAATATGATGACCTTTATCTGCATAAGTCCACCTATCTGTATCTATACACAGAATTATAGTCAAAGAAAAATTCATCTACATTAAAGGAGAAACTCTTAGAATTGTTAATTTCAGTTAATTATGATTATATACTGCTTGTAGGTAATTCGGGCATTTTCAAAGGTTCTGCCTGCTCAAATAATTTTGTCAATCTTCTTTTTGATGTTAACTCAAAGTGATTTATTTTTCTGAAGTAATTATTTCTTATTTTTCTTATTAATGTGAAATTACCACCAGTTCTAGGTAAACGTTCTGAAACAAATTTGCCTCAGACTTCCTCCATGTGTTCATTGGTCCCCTCTCCTCAGCTTCCTATCCTAAGCTGTATCTTTAAAGTTAAGTGTGTGTCAGATTCATTCATGAACAAATATTAGCTGAATGTTTACTGATCATCAGGCTCTGTGCTAAAGGCTGTGAATTTCATGATGAACATAACACTTAAAGTCTGGACCTTCATTAAGCATAGAGTCTAAATATATTCAAGGTATCTTATTATTAATGACTGGATTCCTTTTCTCTATAAGATAATGGATCTTAAATGGACCCTCCTTGTTTTAACTCAATTGTTGACATAATGGGAAGTACCTAGGGTACTTTACTAGGTACATAGAGGTTCTTTTCCTCTCAAATCATATTTTAGAATAAATCAATCATTGGATTGGGTTAATAATAATATATGTAAAACGTACTGAGAACTTACCACATGCTTGATACTTTCCTAAGCATCTAACATGATTTAACTTAATACTATTGCAATGTAAGCTGCATGTGGGCAGATATTTTTATCTACTTTTGTAAATGTTGTTCACTAATGAGTCTCCCAATACCTCCAACATTGTTCGGCATGTTTATGTAAATGTTCACGCAATATTTGTTGAATCAACTCTCACAATGAATTTTTAAAATATGCAAAATAATTCTACCCATTTTAGAGATGAGGAAGTTAAGGCAAAAAGGTTAAGTAACTTGTCCAAGGTTAAATCTGGATATGGGACAAGTCTTATAAGATTTTTATGTGGTATTCTGCTAGGTGATGAAAAAATAAACACAAACTGACCACCTAGAACATACATTGCAGGGCTGGATTTAACGGCTGTAAAGGAAACTATATATGGCCTATGTAATAATAATATGGTGTGGTGTGAAGTACAAGAGGCTAAGGGATCTTAGAGAAGGAACTCACCTCAGATCATTTTGGAAAAACAGCAAGTGCCACAGAAACCACATAAGTAATCATTGCTTTTATAGGGCAATGAATATCAGGCATTAACCAACTCAAAATTGTATGACTGGAAGTCATTCTCAGCATCTTAATATACTGTCCTTACATGATATTTAATCGGTTTTTATCTGAGTCCAATAACTGCAGTGACCACCAGTCATGTATGCTGCTTCACCTGACAATTGTATCAGAGCCCATAGTCTAGGTTCTAGTATCAGAGGCTGAAGAAACACACTTAATGTCCTTCAGAAAAAAATCTTCCTCAGGGTAGTTTTGGTCTCAAGTCTGCCTTTGAAATAATATGGCATAAACCATCCAAATTTTTCACAGGTTACCAAAGGTAATATTTCCTATTTCTAGTCTCACCTCAAAATCTTGTCACTTTCCATGACAGAATGCCAAGAAATACAGAATCAAAAGAGGCATGTTTATTGGCCTTTTTAGAACTAGTTAAAATAATGTGATTAGAAAGTATATAGAGTATAAATGCAAGATTATGAAAATGATTATACAGTGAGTTATATCTTTCACAATCCCTTAGGTATTCTGTTGATACTATTCTTAGTTTTACATATATGTTTATGTTATATATAGTTTTAAATATATAAAGTATAAAAATATTTAAATAAAAATTATATATTATATATAAACATAAAATATATTTATATATTTTATATTTTGTATGTTTTATATATTTATATACAAAATATATAAAATATATATTTAAACAGACATATATGAATAAATGCACATTCAACTATATAGAAATATTTATCATAAATATTTAAATAATTATGTAAACACATATTTATATATTTTATATATTTACATTTATAATATTACAAATAAAATATATATTAAATGTTATGAAAACATACAAAACATTTCACAGATAAATTGTAAAACAGGTATATTGTTTTCAATACCACCATATGGCTCTACATGTGAAAAATGTATGTAAGGTGCATTGTGTTTTCAAAGAACATGAAATAATATTTTTAAATGCTTTGTCTTGTTTGCTTCTCACAAACACTGAGAAAGTAGCAGTCTTGGGTGTGATCACACTGGTTTTAACACAGCCAAACTCTCCAAAGTTGCCTCTAATGAGGACTTTCCTCGAGACAGACTACAGCATCTACCTCCATTTCCTGATGCGATAAATAATCATCCTCAGATGACAAGTCACATTACAAGGCCTTTGCCATCATTCATACCACTCATTTTGTTCTAAGAAGAGTAATGCAGAAGTTAAAGTCAATAGATGACTGTAACATATAGCATACTTTTTATTAAGCAAATAACTTGAAAGCGCTATAAATACGAACTAAAAATGTAAAAAGCACATGGTTATAAAGCCAAGTCCATCATGGGGTCCCTGTAAACAGCAGTAAAAGTCTTTGAATATTGTGGTTTACAAATCTGATTTTAACAGCCAAACTTATAAAACAGTTTACGCTCTTCTGTTGTCAAGGGAGAAAAACTTGCCAAATTGTTCATTTTAAGTAAATACAACATCACCAATTAAGGAAGGCAAAATTTAAACACATGCCTATGATAATCAGGACATAGTTTGCTTCTGATTTCACTACTGATTTTCACAGAACAGTGTTCCTTCCATTTTCCCACAGCACCCAAGTGACCCCACACATACTTTTAGAAACTTGTAATCACACAGTGCAAATAAAAGGACACTTTACTGGAAAATACACAGTGTGGTACAATAATCCATCATTTATGAAAAATAGAATTCAGCCTTTTCTTTTTCCTCAGAGATTCAACTATTTTTTGAGGGTGAACTTTACTGCAATTTAAAGATTTATGTTGAGCCAATGAGCAGTGTTTTTTTCCATTCCCATTTAAACTTTTTATTCAAAAATGAAAAGAGACTTAAGAGATATGGGTTTAAATTTTAAAGCATTTAATCTGATTTACAGAAGAATCACTCTTAATTCTACATATTTTCATCTCCACAGAAAGTGGAGAAAAAAACCTGAATTGGATTAGCTTTCCAGGTATTTTATAATTTACTTTTATTTTGCTTATGCTTTCCTCTTTTTTCCATTCCATTCTTTCAAGCCCAAAAGGAATACTTTTGAAAGCCTAAGAATTTTCAATAACAATACACAATTTAAGTCTCAACACACAGGCCAAAGGCATTAGCCTCAAGCATCCTCAAGCATCATTCTTAACCCATTGAGAGATTTAATTGCTCTTAAAGCTGCTTACACCAAAGAATAGTTAGAATCGGGGCTTATTATTATTATTATTATTATTATTTATCTGAGTGCAGTTGACACACAATTTTACATTAGTTTCAGGTGTACAACATGGTGATTCAACTTCTGTATACATTATGGCACGCTCCACTGAAGGACTGAAGGCTTTTTAAGTTTTATACCCGACACCACCATTAATGGTGTTAAAACCACCCTTCAAGATGAAAAAGCTGAGTGTAATGAATGCCCTTTGTATATTTATTTTTCAACATTAGTAATGGGAGGCGGAATCAACCCAGTTTGGATGATGAACATTCACTACCATTCTATTAAGGAATAAGAACCACAAAAGAAAACCCTCAAATTTTCCCAGAATCCAGTATTTTAGATAATATGATCCAGAATTGTGCATCTGCCAGAATTTTTCTTGCTGGGGACCTTATTTTGTAATATCCCCATTTCCTGCCAAACTGCTGTTTTCATGGTATTCCCATGTTACACTTACATGCTGTTATTATTTTTTTTTTTATTTAGAAATACTGGAGAGCTAACATTTCAGAAATGTTGCTAAAGGAAATGCTATTACAAACAACTTTCTAGGCTACTTGTCACTTTTTTGGTTAGGTTTTATGCAGAGCTTGACATCAGGTGTAGATGGTTGTGTTAGCCTCTGAGAGCTCCTGATTCTGTGAGTCTGGGAGGTTGTTCAAGGGCAAAGTTGGCTGCAGCTAAGATCATCTTACCACACCAAAGTGTCCAGGGAGGGAGATCAAGAAAGAAATGGCAAAATAAGGTTATATCAGGCTCTTAATCCCAAGAGATTCCAAAACACTTCTCCAACCATCACAGGATTACATAACAAAGTGCTGAATTCTCTCCACTCATGTTTTCCAATCTGACCTTCTTGTTGTACCATTTATTAAATTACTGAAATGAGAATGGCTTACCTACAATTGATTAAAAAGAGAAATTGAGTTTTTAAAATTTCTTTCAGCCTCCTGCCTGATTCCTTTATAGGGCATACATGTTTGTGCTATTTCATGAGGCTGTGATATATACTGCTTTGCCCTCTCCAGCATGCGCTTTTCAGAGCTTGCAAAACTGCACGTAACTCCCTGTGTCAGAGTGGGCTGAGAGGGTAAGTTTGGGCTTAATATATATACTGTGGGTCATTTACTATCTCTTTTTTTCACATGCTCAATGTAAATAGAAGACATATTTTCAATCCCCCAACTTGTAGCCTGAGAAGCTAAATTATTGAAACTTTAAGTGA